AGCTCCGAGCACTCCCTACCCATCCGTGCCCAGCTCCGAGCACTCCCTGCCCATCCGTGCCCAGCTCCGAGCCCTCCTTGCCCATCCGTGCCCAGATCCGAGCCCTCCCTGCCTGGCTCCAGACCCCCCTGTCCACCCCTACCCAGCTCTGATCAACCCCTAACGATCACTGCCCGGTTCTGGGGCCCCCTGCCCACCCCTGGCACCTCGACTTCGCCTCCCCCTGCTCATCTCTGGCGGGCTCCAGACCCCCCTGGCCATCTCTGCCCGGCCCGGTCCCGATACCTGCCTGGAAACCCCCCCTGCCCAGTTGGATATCGGGGACTTGGCATCCCCGGCAGAAACCCCGGGAGGCGGTTCCCTCTGTTTTGGGGGTSCTGCTCACGGCCCGGGACCCTCCTGACAGGGATTGACCGAGGGGCAGAGCASGGAGGGGGCCGGAGAGTTTTCATATCGCGACACTGGCGGGGCAGAGGCTGGATCGCGGTGTAAGGGGAGACCCGCACTCCCCGCTTCGGTTCATCGTCTGTCCTCGCCCTCCCGTCCCGGGAACTTGGGGGCTTTATTTTAATGAACTGGGAGCTTAACTGACTTCCTGGAAATGGTGTCAGATGGGATAGAATACTGTGGGATGGATGGAACGGAAGGGTTGGGATGGGGGTGAGATGGAATGGGTTGGAATGGCTTGGGTTAAATGCACCGAATTTGGACGGGATGTGACATTTGCCTGAATTATTCCCTGAGCAGCCCGGTGCCGGATGAGACACCACGAACACCCCCGGGAAAGCCGGGACCTGCTGTCCCACCGCTGCTGCCCCTCATCGGAGCTCCCAGATCCTCCCGGACGTCTCTCGGCTGCGGAAGCCGCCTGGAGCCCGGCAGCGGCCGGGAACCGAGCAGCCCACGAGAGGCTGGCGGGGCCCACCCGCGGGAGGCGATGGATTTTATTTTCATTTTTTCGGTCTGTTCAATAAAGCTTGGGAAACCGGCACGTGCCGGCCTGGACGAGCGGGCACGGCCGGGAAAGGCCAGAACGGGGCGGGGAGTCCAGCTCGGGGAAACGGGGCCGGGGACAGCTGAAACCTGCCTGGAAGGACAACGAGCACCAACACCTCGGGTGGCCTTGGCTCTTCATCCCGTCTTCCTCACCCTCCTTTCTTTTACCTCCCCAATACTCCTTTCCCTTTCAATTTTCTCTTTCCATTCTCCATTTTCCTTTCCATTTTCTGTTTTCCCTTTCCATTTATTCTTTCCCTTTCCCTTTCATTCCTTCCTTTTTTTTTTCCCCTCCTCCACCACTGCTGCTCGGGGTCCTGCATCACCGTGTGTCGCCCCACGCGTGTCCCTGTCACTTSCCCTCCCCGTGGCAAGGCGACCCCCCCTTCCCGAGGCTGTGGGGGAAGGGTGGTGGTGGGGGGACACGCGTGGGGAAACGCAGGGGTGCGGGGACAGAATATTTGGGGCAGGGCAGGACAGGATATTTGGGGCAGGACAGGATATTTGGGGCAGACGGGGACAGCCAGGTCCTTGGAGGGGCGTGGGGTGAGAACGGGGCAGGCAGCGGGGCCGGGGGRTGTTGGGGACGCTGKGGACAGGCACATCCAAGGGTGGCTGGCACAGCCAGATGTGCTCACGGGGAGGGGGTTGGGATCAGCCAGATGTGCGGGGACACAGGTGGGCACTCTCCACCTGCAGCGCCGCCGGACGCGCGCTGGGTACCGGGCGCGGCGAGGAGGGCGTGACACCCGGTACGGGGAGGGTCACCCCGGTGG